CAACAATCCAGCTTACACTGGACATGAACAATCACTATCATGCTTTGCAACCGACTTGACTTGACAACACGTGAGAAAGCGCAAATAGTCATAGGAGCATCTGTTTTCCGCTTAGTTGCTTGGTCTGGTTAGTACAAGAAGACTGCCGGTGAGTTATTTACTTCGAAAAGAAAGCTGTTCGCCACATAATGCGCCTTGGTGACACAAACTGTACATCAACCATGGGATTCTCAGGCCACCGCTGCAATGCTTCCGGCAGAAAACAACAAGTTTTCTAGTCTTCCACGAACGTAGTAGTGCAGCTTTTGTTTGACCGCAGAAATTTCTAAAGATGCAGTGCTTAGCGAGGCATTGCGCAAGAGGAACGAAGGATGCGATGCTGAGCGGTTTCCCCAGGGCATGGAAGGTGGGTGAAACAAGAATTTCTCAGCTGCGATGCTGAGTGCAAAGAACACATGTTGTGAATTATGCTTGTGCCGAAAAACGGCACCGAAAACAGAGCTTTTAACAAGAATAGAAAAGACAGTTGATTGAAAGAAAAAATCACAACTGGCGTTCTTTGGTCTGTTACAAAAGTCAGCTACTGCGCTGTGTCTCCAAGCAAGCACACGCCCTTACATGGCCGCTGCTGCACATCTGCACAGCTAAGGATGCTAGAAGCTCTTACGCAGCAAGCACGTTTTCCTCGTGCTTTCCGCATCGAACAACCAGTGCCAAGTCAGAACTGGTAGGCGTGGAGACAAGCTCTGCCCGCTTGCAGTTGAACTGGAACACCTTGCTGGGAGAGACAAACTTTGGAGTTACGTTCGCTTGTTTTGGCGTGATCAAACCTCGTCGACCGACTGCCGCACTCGTTCAGCAACATCCAGTTGGAACTTGCATGCTGAGATCTGCACTGTTTCAGTTTCATCTGACCAACGAATTTTGCCGGCAGGAGTTGTGCAGCAACAAGACATCACACAAATGGTTCCGTCATCCATGGGACGCAATGCCGCATCCAGCTCCGAGGCGGGATCCATGCACGGTTGTTCTGCGAACTGCCTTTCGCCCTGTTGTGTTGCAGCCCAGGTTCTGAGACTTTCCACTGTCGGTGAGAATCGCGGCGAGGCCCTTTGTAGTGCACACGTTTTCGAAGGGTTTTTCGGTCTCGAAAATGGGCCCGTCAAATCGGACAAAAGCTGAATGTCGAAAGAAGCTCAAGGAAAAGACGTTGTTTGGCAAAGAAATGCCGGAAGACGCGAGCTGCCAGTCCAACCAAGCCCACTTCATACCAGGGGAAGGTTGGTGATCGCCTCCGCGTTCATGGGACACAGGAGTGGTTGCCTTGCATCATCCGCAAGTGCAACCACATAACTTTACCCACCCTGCTCAATACAAGGGCCCATTTCGGATCTACTTACCGTTATCGGCAGTCCCAGCGACTCCTCTGCACAATTGTGCTTACAGCCTGCAGGACGGTTGACTGGTGCTCTCGCGCGTGTGCGCCACTGGAACCAGCTTAAGGGATATGACTGGCAGTATGGCTATTGGGACCCCGGCAAATCAGTCTTTGGCATCCAGAGCACTTTTATCTGCTGGGCTCCTATCGGCTCGAAGCCCGCAGCGCAGAAATCGCGCGACGTAACTTTGCAGATGTCGCTGTGGCAGGTACCAGATACCCGTACATCTTAGGTGCGGATCTCTCCTTCGCGGAGAGGGTGCGAGCGGCTCGGCGTTTCCGAGAAATGGGTGGTTTGGCTGAGGGCCTGAGCTGTCCATTTTTAAGTTGCAGGCTTGTCCTCCAACATCACAGGATTTCTCCGCGCCTCTTCTTCAGCTTGCTGGTCATTACCAACGCTTTTTTTTGGCGTGAATGGGCCTCGGTGACAGCGGCTGCTGTGCTCGGTCCCTAGAAGAAACAAGAAAGCGAGATCAAGAAGCGACAAACAACTGTACAAAGTGAGACAAGGTGGCTGCGACATACAGACTTAGCCGGCAAAGTCGTTCAGCATTGATTACTGCGCATTCTAAGCTACTGCGATCACTGGCCCCGCTTCCCGCAATCTTGGGTCGCGCAATGGCAAAGAGCAATGCATGGCCCCGCTTCCCGTAAACAATGGTCGCGCAATGGCCCATACGTGCATAGCCGCCATCCACATGGGCAGGCTGCAGCACACTGCTGTAGTGCAGAAGCGATTGACGAAGTGAAAAAAATGGCACAAGGCGCACGTCCCCCTCGGTCAATCAGCTGAATGCCAATAACAGTCAAAGAGCAGACAGTGGAACCATGAGTCACTCCCCTTTTCCACATCCGAGATGTCCATTGAAGCTGCATGGCCGAATGGCCAGGGCATACATACCAATGAAGTAGAGCACGAGTGTCGAGGGAAGGACATGTACTGTTGGCCCACGTTCCGCCTGGTACCGCGCGGTTTCAGCGCAGAAAGCCGGACACATGGCGCACATCCCACACGGCTAGCCAGCTGAAAGCCGAAGCCTCCAAACAGCAGAAAAGAGCGGAACCATAAATCACATTCTCATCCCGCATATCTGTGGAGACTGCGGCAGCCGCACAGCCGAATGGCCACTGATACTAATGAAATGGAGCACGGGTGCCCAGGGGAGTACGCGTACTGCTGGCTCTCGTTCCGTCCAATACCGCACAGCAGTTCTGTGCAGAAAGCGTCGCCAGCTATTTCTTTTTTTTTGGCGTGAATGGGCCTCGGTGACAGCGGCTGCTGCGCTCGGTCCCTAGAAGAAACAAGAAAGCGAGATCAAGAAGCGACAAACAACTGTACAAAGTGAGACAAGGTGGCTGCGACATACAGACTTAGCCGGCAAAGTCGTCCAGCAAAAACTTACTGTGCATTCTAAGCTACTGCGCTCACTGGCCCAGCTTCCCGCAATCTTGGGTCGCGCAATGGCAAAGAGCAATGCATGGCCCCGCTTCCCGTAAACAATGGTCGCGCAATGGCCCATACGTGCATAGCCGCAATCCACATAGGCAGGCTGCAGCACACTGCTGCAGTGCAGAAGCGATTGACCAAGTGAGAAAAATGGCACAAGGCGCACGTCCCACTCGATCAATCAGCCGAATGCCCGTAAGAGCAGACTGTGGAACCACCATAAGTCACACCTCTTTTCCCCTTCCGAGATGTCCATTGGAGCTGCATGGCCGAATGGCAGAAAGCGTCGCCAGCTAGCTGCGTCCGCCATGTGTTCGCCATTCAGAGCGTACAATAAAGCCCACTCCTTGCGATGGTAGTATCCCGTAAGTTGCGGCTTGTTGAAGAACTGTTGGCGCTGCGCTTGGTAAGAATGCAGCAAGTTTCAACTTGATTGTTTGAAACGAATACGTGTTCAAGGCAAGCATTAACTGGCTACACTTTGGAGTTCTCGGGCTGCATGTTGCTGAAGAAATGGTCGCTCCGCGTCCAGATTGTGCGATTCCAAAAATGAGCTCGGAAGTGGTTCGCCAGCACCAAAATGCAGGCCCCAAAATGCGACCGTTTTCTGAACCCTCGGGAAATATGCCAATACTCAGAGGCACTAAAAACGGGTCCGAATTCCGGACCCATTTTTGAGCCCGCTTCTCACTCTTTTTCGAATTCTCAACTCCAAAAAAGTGATCACCGTTTCTCTTTTTGCTTACGCCTTACGCAGACACTCCATCCAACAGCACAGCTTATTGAGCTGTTGCAGATTTAATGACAACGACAGCAACAATGTTCTGTGGCTTAAGCTATGAAATCGAACATATGTAAAAAAAGATAGTCCCACAACTGGGGAGGCCCCTGCGGCGCACACGTTTTCGAAGGGTTGTCGGCCTCGAATATGAGCCCGTCAAATCTGTCAAAGTGAAGGTCGAGACAAGGTCCAGGATATTCGGGAGGCTCCCACATGAGTTTGCCCTGTGCAGCCTACAACTTCGGTTTGCTCTCCGGCTCTCTATTATGTCTCATTGTATGGAACCCCATGCGCAAAAAACGTTAAATCCAACACACAACATCAAACGTGCGGTTTCGACTAAAAGCACGCGGGTTGCTATTATCCTGGGCCGCTGAGACGTTTTGACAAGCTCCTGGCTCGAACCTCTTTTCTTGTGGTGACGTCCCGAAACTCTTGTTCTGACGGAGGTCTCTAGTTTCTAATCTCAGCATGCTTCGCCAGGACATGGTTCATGCTTACATGGTCCTTTTAGTCACTTGCAATTGCTAACTGATCCCTGTGCCGCCATGATGCTTTTCATGCTTTTTCAGATTTTGGCCATAGCTGCCGGCATGCCAGGGTCAAGCAACCGTTCATCGTCGCCACTTTACAGTCCTTCTTCTGAAGTTCAACTCTTTGCATCAGGGAGCAGTGCTGTGAGTGGGCGTGCTGAGCCCAATCGGAGGATCCGGGCTAGTGGTGTCATTTTCCGAAAAAAGCTTGCACAGAAGCGATGCCGACAGCCCTTCCATATTTCAACCTTTGACTGCACGATGGCAGCAGGAACCGGATGCTACTGAAACATGCTATCAGCTTACAGAGACTATGTCTGATCCGCCTCATCAGTCGCATATGGATTTCTTGGACCAATTGGCAGTGCAAGTATTTGAGAATCACATTGGGCCCGATCTTCAACGCAATTTGCTCATGATATATATCAATGCACAGAGAGCACGCCTTCGAGAACTTCTGCAAGAAACATCAGGACTCTCTCAGTGTCTGCGCTTTTGCTTCTCTAGCTCAGGACTGTCTTGCTTTTTGGCATGTTGTGATGTTATACATGCATGGCAGGCTGCTACTGTTCGCAATCAGGAAACGGAGGACATGATGCTGAGACTTGATAGTCGCCATCTAGACTCTCTGCAGACGCAGGCGTTGTAGATTGCGTAGATCTCGGAACGGTCGAAAGCCTCGTGCTGTGACAGGGTTTTTGAAAATCCTCGCACTTTGCCATCGAATGGTGTTGTTGCAGCTCTGTCCATGGCGATTTCTGATGTTGTTGTGTGCTCAGCTCAGCGTGTGTCTGTCTGAGCCTAGCCAGGAACATGTGCATCCCGGTAAGCTTGATCGCTCATACCTGCAGCCTGTCCCTTCACATTCGGACGCAACTGCCGGGACAGCGAAGGCTTGGCCTGAGACAGTTGAGTCACGCTCCCTTGGAAGCTTCTACAGGCTCTTTCGACGTCCCTCCCGATGGCCTTTCTTTGCGACAAGCTCCACCTTGGAAGTCGGGTACTGGTCTCAGCAGTCTCCAGCGCAATTTGCTTGCCGATTCTTTCTGTGGTGCTCACTTTCATGTATTTCAGATGCACTGCAGTTATGCCTTCCGATGCATATGTGGATCTCAGCAATTCACTTGCTTGTGGCTTGGTGCCTGGAGGTATCTGTACATGCATCAGTCTATGTATGCACTGCACAATGGTATGCAAGATGTTTTCTATCACATCATATAGTGCCAAGCCTCCTACATACTTCCTTCGGCTGCAAGCTGCTTTGGCGCGTTGGTTCAGGTGTTTGGTACATTGTACTGGAATGGCTGGGCAAACCAATCATCATGATCTGCCCTCTCAGATCAGAACGGAGCTGGCTTCACAGCGCGTACACCAACTCTTGTATGAGATTGATGAGTTTGCGAATCCAGTTGAAGCTGTGGGTGCAGACCCTGTTCTATAGGTTTAGTTGTGCTTGCTAGCGGAATGCCGAAGGCTTTAAGCTGAAGTGCAACAAAGCATCGCATGGAGTCTGAGGTATTTTCCCGGAGTGCCGATTTGTCTCACATGTTGAAACGAGTGAGACCCGAAGCATAGGTTGATGGGTGGCTGAGTTTTGCCCGCCCACACTAGCGTTACAGCTGTAACGTAAAGCAGAAGAAAACGAACATCCGAGTGACACCGTGTATACCCAGCGGATAGAAGCGCGCTGAAAAGGGTATGATATACTGCTGTGGGACCGACGTACGCGAGCACAATACTGTTCGGATGTGAAACGAAGCTGCAAGCGAGACCAGTTGCGATAAGGCTGTATTCGTTTAGGAGAAACATAACAAACGTGTGGACCTCACCTGGTGGCCAATGCCTTGTGAGACGAGTGAAACTGGGTGGGAGGGTGAGGCTTTTCGAATCTGCTAGCAAGCACAACTGTTTACTGAGCCAAAATGTTTCGCACACATAAACTATAAAACATATGTGAATAAATACACACAACGTTCTATAGGTTTAGTTGTGCTTGCTAGCGGAATGCCGAAGGCTTTAAGCTGAAGTGCAACAAAGCATCGCATGGAGTCTGAGGTATTTTCCCGGAGTGCCGATTTGTCTCACATGTTGAAACGAGTGAGACCCGAAGCATAGGTTGATGGGTGGCTGAGTTTTGCCCAAATAGAACTACCCAGCAACCTCGCTCCCGAAAAGCCCAAAACTATGTGAGGTTGTTCGGCACTCCTGGGGCTCGCACGGTCCAAGCCAGCGAAGCATCGCTTGGCGAAATAGAAATGGCTGGTCTAGGCAGCCAAAGATCACTGAGACGAAGCCTGATGCGATCAACATCGAGGCAATCTGGGGGAATCTCATGTTCACCCGGTCTTGAAAGTGCATCTGCTTTGATGTTTTTCTCCCCAGGAATATGGGAAACGTCAAGAGTGGTACGGTAAACTGCGGCAAGCAAAGAAATGCGTTCAAGGAAATATGCAAGTGGGCGTGAAGTCGTAAAAGATGCATTCACACCTGCTTCGGCACCACTGTTGTCTGAAACCGTCCGAAGCTTGATTCTAGAGCAAGGTATCAAGGCTGAAGATGCGATAATCAGCGCCCCTTGAGCGAGCGCTTCATAGCACGCAATGTCAAGCTGCATATCTTGCTGAACGGGAATCTGAAGCTCGCGGAATTCCTCATACGTGAATTCTTCCCTGAACCACCTTTGCCCTAACGAAGGATGCGACACGAATCCACCAATGCAAGCCCGCTGACCTTGGGCACTGGCATCTGCTTGTGCTTCCATTGGAAACACTGATGCCGGACGCATGCTGATCATAGGGCTCATGTGAAGTAGCCAGGACTCGTAGAGTCCCAAGATGCGCACAGATTCTGTACTCAAACGACGCTTGTTGCTGGATTGACTGGACACCCGCATCCAGATGCGTCTTTCTGTGATGCGAACCTTTGCAAGATCTGAAAGGGTCTGTAATTTTTGGTGCCGCACTGACAGCAGCGTCGAATGGAGCGGGATGGCAGTACCTGGCGGGGTGGATTTAAATTTAAGGTCTTCTGTAAGATGGTGCCGTAGTTGGTGCCACACTTCTGGTGATATCGAATAATTCGTTGCTGCCGGGCTGAACAAATCGTGATAGCAGGTATGCAGCAGTGCTTTCATCGAAGGGAAAAGGTGGCAAGCCCAAAGTGCCAGGCCAACAAACCGTTCAAGATCCTTTTTGGAAATTTTTGGCTTGCGCTGAAGATCCTGAACCATCCCTAATAATTTGAGGCGTTTTTGCTCCTGCAACAAGACGACTCCCGCGGTATAATCAAAGTCCCAACCTATCCATTGAACCCGACTATGCAGTTGGAGTTTCCGCCAGGATAAGGGAAGGCCAATCACCTGAAAGAAAAGGCATATCATGGCTCCTGTCATGGGCATGATTGCCGCCAGTTGCGAGAACAAATAATCATCCACAAACAAGTGACCCGTGTGGCTAATGAAGATGAGCACATGTAAAATGCGAAGGATACATGATCCCAATCTGCCCCACCAGTGCTGAGCGAAGACTGCACCGAACGGTGCCACGCGATAGAAATGAAGATCATCATCCCAAGAGAATCCAAGCAACCCATGTTCGGCAGGTGTTACAAAGACCCTTTTATGGGCGGATTTCACGTCCAACGATATGGCCGATTGCCGAGCGTTGCACTCGCGAAGTGGGTAGCTGTTGATCACGTCCCTTGCAGATGGCATGTGCTGGCTTTCTGGGACGTCACAATTGGCATTCGTCCCACAAACCGAATTGTCAAGCACTAGTCTTTCCGCACGCCCTGGAGCACGTACTACAGAAAGCTTCCCTATTGCGAGAGCAGGCCATTTTGCTTTAGCTTCGGCAAGAGATCCCTCAAACTTATAGCAGAACCCTTGATTGATTTCTTCTTCAAGGAGCGCTTGCGTGACTGAGGGCTCGACCGATGCTGAACGCCAGTTCTGCATGTGGATCGTTAAGGGAGCATCTTCGACGTTGGTTTTTTGATTTGGCCAAAAGCAGTGGGAAGGCGGAATATCGTTGTTGTAGCCTGTAGGCACACCACGTTGCAAACATGGGAACAAACTGATATCCGGGTCACCGCAGATGCCTGCAAGTTTCTCAAGAACATGCAAGGCCAGGGGTTGGTGTTCCCGAATCCGCCAAATTTGATTATCCTCGTGCAACCCCAAGCTTGCAAGACATCCCTGCCTAACCTCTGAAACCTCGGACTGTGTGAATAATGGTTCGGGACTGGGCCATGCTGCCTTTGCAAGAAGACGCTTGTCACCTTGCATGCGGGCGACACAGCTCAACAGGTAGGTACGAAGCGGTTTCAGCTTATCGGAGCACAAAGGGCTGCTCCAGTCGCAACAAGAGTGACGCCCTGCCCCGTGATGGAGAACCCAAGGTTCTGCCTGGATCTCTTTGACTGGAATCAAAGCCGAGGCTGAAGCAATTGTGTGATCTTCCGAAGGGCCCGAGAGCAGGGGTCTAATGTGTAAAGCGAAGGTTTCTGCTAGTGGTTCCGGATATTTGGCTGTATCTCTGCTCCGAAATGTGCCTGACTCGGAGCGGCCTTGCATAACTGGATGAGCACCTCGCCCATGCGAGCACGTTTGGCCCATGAGACCGAGTGTCTTGAAGCTGCTGGCAAACAACCATGTCTTTTGCCAATTTGCCCCAAAAGCACATGCTGCACAAAGGACAAGCACGACCGAACCTGCATGGAGCCAGCTTTGCGTACATGGCTCCTCCCATGACATGGCCCCTGAGGGTTGTTCCACATGCGAGTGACCGCCTGCCGCATGCACGACTTTTGCGCACTGACACGCTCGGGATAGCACCTCATGGCTTTCCTGAACACGAGACTGGGCTTCTGCAGGGTTGCCAGGAATTCCATCAAGAAATTCAGGTGTCCGGATGGCATATGGTTTATCACCCCTAAGTTTCAAGCGGCTGTACTCAGAACAGCAGGGTGAGGAGGCGCAATAACCCACTATGCCCGAACCACAGATAAACAAGAGTTGCTCGAAGAAGTCGTTGTTCAGAATATCCATAGTGGGGTCCAAAAGAATGTCAATGGACAGCACTGGCAAGCTGAGTGCAGCGACTGCTGACGATAGCGGCTTGTCTAGACCTGAACAAATATCCAAGAAAATCCTTGAACCTGGTTCCTGGGGAATGGGAACGGACGTAGCCCGAGGCATTTGCTTAGGGGGGTCCGGGACTACCTTTAACCTATGGTTGGTAAATCCGAAAGGCGTGGCTTTGCCCCAGTTGATTGGGGAACCTGCGATTGGAGATGGACGCTGCTCGGTGCCTGATGAAGACGTGACTGCTGCTGGAGACGCCTGCTTAACAGGAGTTTTGGCTTGCTCAGCTTCCGGAGAGGCCAAGCTCGACTGCGTGATAGTTGGGAAACCCAAGTCTGGGAGCCCTGAATGAGAAACTGAGGGAAGCGAAAAGCAAGTGAGAACCCATCTATCCCCCAACCATGGCTCTGTGCAGTGCCACAGATTACATGGGAATTTTTTAGGGGCATGCCGCGTGCAGGTGTAGGACCCAAGGAGGGTTTTACCCAGAGCAGGAATGAATTTTTCGACTGAACCCGAGGGATCCTCTATCCAGAGGCGCCCGCCTGAAAAGGTTCCGACGCTCACTGACAGGTTGGAAGAATGCTTCAAGTTGGCTGAATCCCTGTGTGGGGTTGTCAAGACATTTCTGCTAACGCATAAGGAGTTCCATGTTTCCCCTGGAAAACACTGCTGAAGGAATTGATTTAGTTCGATACAAAGTTCCGGCAAGGCTGTTGTGACACTGGTTAAGGTGTTCCTGTGGCTAATCTGAACTCCGAAGTTCCAATAACCTGAATCGGAGTGAGCCGTTGAGGCTGCCGCACGGTCTGGGGCAGCACGTGCTGGCCATGTTGCTGCGATCAATGCCGCTGCACAAGACTCAAAATCATGAATGCACGATGCGCCCGATGATGCAACGAAAACTTCGCCCGGCTGCACGCCGGATCCCAATGCCTCCGAACCTGCGGGCCTTGATCCCAACACCGCAGGGGTGCTGTGGGGAACTCCCAGCATGGGAGGAACAGGCGATCCCACACGTGGGATTCCTTGCGCAAAGGTGGAATCCGAAAAGCCTCGAGCCTGCGGACCTGGAACGTATGCCGTGCCGCTTGCCTGAGGACCTGACTGCTGCACTCGAAGTCTTTTTGACTGCTGAGAATGCAAATTTAGTGAATCGGGATGGTGCTGCAAAAGCGCTGGGGCTTGGTCTGAAGAATTATGTGGTGAAACCGGAAGGGGGTGAGGATCCGAAGAAACCACCCCTGGCATGCTTATGGGATTGGGGCTAAGTCAGTGTGGAGTGCTCTCGTGCTGCAGTGCGGTATGCGTCTTGCTTCCACAAGCTTGCCCATTGGGTTTCGGGAAGGCACAGGCGTGTATGAATGGACACGCGTTTCCACGATTGCAACGACTCAGTTGCCAATTCACACACAGTGGTTTGGACTCGGACCCCACCATAATGGACTTCACAAAGTTGATATTGGAGCCGCCTTTAGCCTCTTTGGACTTGCCTTTGTCCTTTCCCTTGCCTTTCATAGCCGCTTGGGATGCGTAACCCTTGGCATAGGATTCCACGAGCATCTTCCCTAGACCCTTGTTGGTTTTGCCTTTCCCGTCCCAGCCTTTGGGAATGGGAGGAGGACGCGCTCGAGCTTGAAGAAGACTGGGCATCTCGCCCCTGACCTCTGTAAATTCATAGAGTGCATCATCCATAGTCCAGCCTTTGTCGGTGACCAAGGTGATCATGCCCTGCCACAAGCGGCAATCAGCCTGTTGTGCTTCAAGTACTGATGGTGGCCGTAAGCCCGATGATGCGTCGAATTTTTGAGTCAGCAGTGAAATGAACTTTGTCGTATAGCCCTTCAACCTGGCGAGATGGGCCGTGCCAACCATTGCCAAGGATACGTCATGAACATTCATAAGCTTCTGAATAGCATTCACCCCCATAGAGTGGTCCTGGATTTCAAGTGCAGGAGGTTCGTCAAGCAACATACCAGAAAGCCCGATGGCCTCAAGCCGTGGTTGCTTGTTAGGGCGAGACATCAGAATCTCTGATGCTCGCTCTTCCGTCATCCTGAACTTCCAGGGGATCCAGCGCCAATCCTTCTTGTTCTGCTGGTGGGATGCGAGGCTTAGCAACCTTGTTGACGGCTGGGTGGAATAGTTGAGGATCTCGGAAGGGTAGTTCACCAGATACTTACGTTTCATCTCGGAAATCGAAGAGGATGATATCTTTGGAGCAAAAGATTCCACCCATGAGCCTTCACGAGGTTCTGTTGCGGCAGGGGTTGGAGATTCTGCTGAGCCGGAGGCCCCAGATTCCTGCAAAGTACTCCAGACAGAACGAATTGTCGCTTTCTGAAGAGCTGTCAGCACCTTTTCCGGGAAAATTTCGCCCAATACAGAGTCTAATTCTTCCAGTTTACTGACAGCATGCTTGAAAGTAGATGACTTCCAACCGCTTGCAACAGCGAGATCGGCCAGCTCGGAAGAGAGGCCTTCTGATTTCAGAAGCTCCGCCAGTTCCATGGCAGGTACTCTTTTGTACTAGTGGGAATCCTAATGACTATGGCATATGAGCGCAACAAAAAGGAGTTACCAGATAACCCTAAGAGAATGGTACACGCTATCACATAAGGGACATTTGAGCAGCTGTCCTGAGGCCACCCAGAAACTTGTAGTGTGCATGCGCCTGACAATTGTGGCCTAGCAGCAGCAGTGTGCATGATGGCTGAAATGCGCAACCGGCCGACTGCAGTAGCTCGTGACCGCTTTTTTCCTGATATTCACAAATCTGAGATCCCACAGCGACCAAGGACTATGCAACATGCGCGGCGTTTGCACAAGGTGATTGCTGGAGAATACTGCTCGCACCAAGTGATATTATCTGCTTCCAAATAAACGCCACAAACTGGTCGCAGCTTTTGACCTCGAAAGGTGATCCCAAAAGGCCCTGAGGTAGGCACCATCGCATGATGAACACCTGTGCTGGATGCGAGCACAAACTCCTCTGCATCTCCTAAGTCGGGGAGATTGGGCGATTCGTCGCCGCTGCTGTCCAGTGATTCCTCATCTGATGACTGAACATCCCAAAGTGGGGCTGGGACGACTGGCTTGGTTATCTCTGATGATTTCTCGAACTCAGGCAGATGTAATCCATCCTGCATAACAAACTGAGGGAAATGTTCGAACGGAGTGGAATCTGCAACCTTGCTGAATGATTCGATCTGCACTGGTGGCTCCTCCAGAGGGTGCTGAGAGCCACGATGAAGCGGGGTCATGAACCGAGCGCCACCGGTTATGGCGTACCGAAGTTTCTGTTGGCCCCTCAGAGCTGGAATGATGTCCTCACGCGAGTACAGCTGGGACGAGCTGAGCCTGTGATGGCCCTGGCATTGTTTCTCGATTTGCTGGACTTCAGGACGCTGACCCATCCAAGATAAGAGGGTAGTTTTCATGGAGTGCACTGTATAATTAAGTTGGACATCATGGGGGACGGGTACCTTATGTTTTTTCCAAGGAAGAGTGACAGCATAACGAAGGTGCCGAAGTGCAGCAGCGTACCCCATAGCCTGCAAGGGGTACACAGGATCCCCTGATGCCCCAATCGAGAGCAAGAGGCTCGAAGGCAACGGATGATCCGGGTGAAGGCTGCTGTGCATGCATGCTACTTTGTCCAATGTCCGAAGAAACCGATGCACCCATGTAAAAGATCCGTAACTGAGCAAACCCTGGCAAATCACCCCAAACGGTTGTCCTTGTGATGTGGTCTTAGTTTGGTAGCATGAGCCCCTCAATGTGGAGCCGTCATAGGACAATGATCGCCAGTGGACTCTTTGTCCGTCCATAAACCGAAGAGAACCCCAAATAAGGATCAAGAATCCCCCAAGGATAAGGACTTCTGAGTCCGTGGCTTCTTGCATCCGTCGCTCAAAATGCATAACGACATAAAGAGACAAGGGCGCAGCTTCCTTGCGTTCACGGGGAATCTTGGATTTCAGAAAGCTGGCAATCAAGGGTGAATACGCAACTTCAAAGCATGCTACTTCGAAAGTACGCTTAACCCACCTGATAGCCTTGATGGCAGTCGCTGAATGAGTTCCCGATTCCGGGTCACTGCTACGCGCCAGGCTCAAAACGACAAGAGCATCTGCAAGCTGAACCGAGGTCAAAGATTCCAAGGAAAAACCCAAATCAAGAATGGTTTCTGCAAGCGATTTGAAGGCCGAGCTGTAGCGAATCACGGTGGCTGCTACAAACATCTGAAGAATGCGACCCACGTGGTCCTGACTACTCTCTTGCAAGGATGCACCCAGAGCGCTCAAGCTGCCAAGAATGGAAAACAATGCCATAAAGGCTGCACGCGCAACTTTGCTGCGAGAAGCGTTCTCACTGATTTTTGGGGCTTTTGATCGTTCCGAAGGCATTACAGGGGGCTTAAGCTTAGAGGAACCCGGCAGGGCAGGGCCTAAACCCGAACAGGATGCATCCGAAATCGCCGAATCTCCGAAGCTTGTACGCCGCACAGATGGTGCAGGTAACGGGTCCCCGGCCGGGAACACCTCGAAGGAAACGCACGATAAAGGCTCAGGTGCCACGTCCAAACCTTTCGCGGGAAGGGCAGGAGCGGGCCGACTAGGTCTAGGGGCAGGCACTTGAAGCGGCAAACTCGTGTGCACTGGCTTCGAAGTTTCACTGGCACTGACCGGTGCTTTGCAAGCTAGGTTGACGCCGGCAGGAGAAGCCTGCTTCCTATCGTCAGGATCCAAAGGCCGCTTCATATTTATTCTTCGTCACGACACCCGTAGAGGATGGCTGAACGGATCAGATTTCTGCGATTCCAAGTGCAAAGAAACCAGCTCGCCCCCAAGAAGTGCACCCTGTCGGAGGGCTCCAAGAATTCCCAAAATCTAAAGAAGAAATCCGGCCGAGCTGAATGAAAGAAGCCCTCGATCGAAATAGCACTTGACGAAATGGAGGCAGCTGATGCAACGGAACTGACTTCAGAGATCGGACTTGCGGCTGCCGGCTCAACCTCAGGCTCCGCACCGATCTCCATAGGCCCACTTATGGGGCAGACGCTCCCCCCCTACGGCCAGAGGGTTTCAAAGTAAAAGAATTGTTGGAAAGTTGAAGTCCTGACAATTGTAGGACATGCGATCAGAACGTGACATGAAATTCTTTTCGAATCTGCTAGCAAGCACAACTGTTTACTTGAGCCAAAATGGCTACGGACACATAAACTATAAAACATATGTGAATAAATACACACAACGGACTTTGTATGGTTGATGGACTACCGGTCCCGCATGTGGTTTCCAGACCTCCGGCTGGTGCTGGCTCCTATCCGAGCAACTTCGATGCAGCTCGCTTCTCAATGGAGACGTTGGCTAAGGCCAAGGCCAAGCCCAGGCCTTCTCAGGCTCCACATGTGCAGTTGGCTGGTTCTATTTGCGGACATATCAAGGGAGCTCTCCGCATGGTTCGAGTCCGTAAGGCCCCGCGAAGTCGACCAAAAGGCCGAGCCCAGGGCTGTGCCTTCCTGTGGAGAGGCGGTATGCAGTTGCGAAGGCCTACATCTCGCAATATGGCCACTCAGACGGATCCAGTGCCTCTCAGCCCTCTGCGACCAACGGTGCGACAGCCATCCGTGGATGACAATGACCCTGATCTATCTGACAGTTACGATGGATTGGGCAATGAATGCAATTCGAGTTCTGACTCTGAAAGGCTGTCTGCCATTGCACGCAATATTGTCAGTCATGAGTTCAATCCCTCCGACGACGACTGACATATTAGTACATTCCCTGGCCTTGGCCAAGGCTCGGCTGCAGTGGTCTACACTGGCACTATTTGATGGAATGTCTGTCATAGCATCTGTATCTTTCTCTGAGACTTGCGATTGGCGGATTGGAAAACTGGTGTGGACCTGCCTATATGCTGCTGTACATGCAAGCAACTCTTTGACGCGAGAGTCTTCCTATTGGCATTTCCTTTTTGCTCAGGTTGATTGGGGTTGCAAGAGTCACAGCCTGAGCCCTCTCCGATGGTACACGACTGCAGATGCATGCTCCGTGCCGACTCCACCACATATGCTCTGGTGGTATATATATTCTCCGGCAGAACACAACTATGCCCAGGTTATGCGCAACTCGATGAAATGTCACTGCCTGAGTGTTATCGGACTGTATGTAATTTCAGTTGGTGGCCTGACCAGGACAATGCTTACAGGTATTCACCAAGACCTGAGCCAACGGCAGCCCGACTCTTATTTGTCATTCGTCTGGTTTTGGTGGCGCGATTGCACTGGCAATATTGATGCTCCGATGGCAGGTCCTATCTCTTATGATGTTCCTGGTCCCAGTGCAGCTGGCCATCTGGATGTATCGGTGTGGTAGTTTTCGGTCGATGGTACGTCGACCTATCTGCCAGGTACGATCCCACATGTACACCCTACACAGCCTTTGTTCAGTCTGGCTGGTGTCTCAGTTGGCTCACCGTACCCTTCTGATCTCTTGCACTCGGATGGTTGTGTGGAGCTTGATGCACTGTAACGATACTCGGTCTGCAGTTTGGTTTCTCCAGTCATGGGAGCATGCGCGAGACATTGTACACATGTCAGTCATGCAGATTGTGTTTGGGAAGCAACGTCTATGTGTTTGGCCGAATACATTTTATCATGTGTATCCCTGGCTGGGCCAACATGTCTCTTTAGCTCGGAGTCGCCTACTTGATATGTACTCTCCCGAGCACCCCGAGCCGGAAAAAGGCCTGGGATCAAAGGCCAACCTTACAAAGGAAGAGGCCGCGACCTTCTACACCACCGCCGACGAGCACTCGAGTTCCTCTACAACGTCGAAGGAGAATCCTTCAGGGGCAAGGTGCCAGGCTACGCAAGCCCCTCCCTCGTCTGCGGCGGTCAGAAGTGCCCAACCCAAAACCGGGCAAAAGTACGCCTACCTCTGGCTCCAGCAAAGCTGTACCGCCAAGTGCTTCCAGCTCGGCGCCCTTCACCAAGGCGTACAATGAGATGAAGGAGGACCGTGCCAAAAAGGCGACCGAAACTGGAGATACGGATACGGCTCTGACAGAGTCTGGGCCTGTGACTACACCGGTTCAGACTCTTTCAGCCAGTTCCAAAACCCGTGCGCGTCCGCGGCGTGCTACCTCTTCACGGACTCCCAAGCCTGTGCCTCCGCAGACCCGACCTACATGCAGCAGGAAAGGATCCATCCGAGAATCTTTTGCACGTAGTGGTCGATTGGATCCTGATGTAGTGCCTCTTCAGCCGACGACGACAGCTGCGTCCGAAGGGACCCCTGGCACTACCGGTGACACTCTACGTACTGCCGATGGTGTCTCTTCCTCTACCTCTACAGTGCCGCCTGTGCAGGACGACATCATGATCCAGCGACAGCAGCAGCTTCTTGCCATGCAGCAGTACGCAGCCAAAAGACGCTCACAGATCCGGCAGCAAGCCCTCTTGGTACAGCAACAGGCTGCTGATGCTGCTGCAACTGCAGCTGCAA